TGATGTACTCCTTGGCCGATTCTCCGGGTCGTTGATCCCTCTGCTCGAAGGTGTGGCGCCACGCGATGACGGACATCTTAGGCTGGAAGTGCTCCTTCAGTAGCTTTTTTAGATCTGCGTAGCTGACAGAATCTAAAGGAACAGGTGCTGCAAGGTTCTCAGCGATTTCGAATGCGTCTTGACTGCAAACGCACAGCAGGGTGGCAGCCTTCAAACTATCTTCCCTCACTTAGTTCACCTTGAGGTAGTTTTCCACCCTGGCTACGTAGGACTCCCACCTCTCTGGATGTGAGACATCGAATTCCAAAAGCCTTCCAATTTTTGCCATTTTTGTAGAAGGAAGGGTCTATCAGCCAGCCTACCCCCGAATGCATGCTGGATTGGCGGGTAGCTGCCGAGTCAACGCCGTTCCTGCCGCTCAGGACTCACTCGGGTAAGCTTACGCCTTTTCTTCTTCGATGTAAGGCAATCCCATCGTCGTCGCCAGTGTTGAGTCCTTCGCGAAATGGCAAGACACGAGAAGCAGTTGTAGTTCTCAGGAAACTTCTTTATTCTTTAGTTCAGCTTACAGTTAGAAGACGCCGACAACGCCCAAACTCCTGGCCTCTTATATAGGCCATTCCCGGGTCAATCTGCAACTTTTGGCATGCCAGCACTTGCGCATGCGCACAAGTACTGGCAACAGCCTGTCTGGTCCCGGGCAACTTGCACCTGCCCGGGACCATTTGCAATGCCCCGAGCCTGCTTGCACAGGCTCAGGACATAACAATTATGAATGTGTATTATGTTGCTTGCTAAAATTAAACATCATTAAAGAACTTTGAGCCAATAATAAATATCAGAACCATGCTTAACACAATATAAACCACCAGCTGAAATTATGCACTATAAGAAATTGAATTGATACTAAGAATCTTTTCTGATTAAATATCCCATGAAATTAAAATATAGATTACTTACATAAAGAAACCCAAATTGATGTATTATCATCCAGGAAGTTTCCTATTTGAGCAGAAACATATGTCAAATTTACTTTAGGTACAAAGTTATTCTTAAAGCATAGCCCCACAGCTTGATTAACCATAATTTCCAGGAGGAAAGAAAACAACTTTTCCAGATAGAAGGATATAACATCCTTGTGACAGCATATACAAAACTAACTTCGTAGACTGTAGTTTTTCAAGAGTCGTGTGTTTTAGTAAAGTTTAATAAGTTTTAGGTTATAATGGGTATCTAGCTTTTAAAAATTGTTTCTTTCTAGTAATGTTGAACTTTACAATGTCATTACCAAATGTTTAAAAATGATCCAATTTGCTCATTACATTTCCAGTAATTCTTAGAGAATGAACTGTTCATTTTAGCAATCAAAACTCGAGTAACATATTAGTTATAAGACATTTTATGTAATGTTCTCCTTTCTTGCAGCATTTGATGCTTAAATGGACTTAGAAGGGACAGCCAGCTGAACAAAGAACCACCTTTGAAGAAAGGACTGTCCTTTTGCACTCCTACAAATAGGCTAACAATTCTGTAAAGTATGGGGACATATTCTTCCTGCCTCTGAGCAAATTTGGAGCAAGAACCATTGATTGAGATTGTATAATATTTTCTTCCCTTTAAAGGAACTCTGGTTATTCTGGTAAGATCCTCTCATTTCATAATTGCATGGGTTCCCTTCTACAATACTATACAATACTTATACTGGATTGGACTGGACTGAACAAACTCAGATTGCATTTTGCTAGCCCTGCACAAGAGTTGTACATAAATTGCATGGTCCCTGTGTGATTTGCTTAACTGAGTTCTGAAAAAAGACTGGCCTGATTAAAAACTCTGTCCCATCATAACCTTCTCTGAATATGACTTTGGACCAGTCACTTTTGAATCTGGCCTGCCTTTCATTGTTGTGAATAGGAAAAGGTGTCCCTATAGATTCGAAACACACATTAGGTCCGGTTTTCAGCATAGCAGAGACCTTCCTAGCTACAATCCTCAAGCTTCAAGCTAGGCTCATGAGATTAAAATATATAAAATGTATTTGCTTCACAGGCCAGCATATCTTCTCACAGTTCTGTAAAAACAATAAGCTCTTTTTCCCATGCTATTTTGCCTGTGGAGAAATGTTTGGGACACATCTATGCCTGGAAAACAGCACAGGTTGATATTTAGTAATAATAGTAGTAGTAGTAGTAGTAATAGTAATAGTAGTAGTAGTAGTAGTAGTAGTAGTAGTAGTAGTAGTAGTAAAGTTGGAAGGTACCTTGGAGGTCATCTAGTCCAACCCCCTGCTCAGGCAGGAAACCCTATACCATTTCGGACAAATGGCTGTCCAGTCTCTTCTTAAAAACTTCCAGTGTTGGAGCATTCACACTTCTGGAGGCAGGTTGTTCCACTGGTTAATTGTTCTAACTGTCAGGAAGTTTCTCCTTAGTTCTAGGTTGCTTCTTTCCTTGATTAATTTTCACCCGTTGCTTCTTGTCCTGCCTTCAGGTGCTTTGGAAAATAGCTTGACTCCCTCTTCTTTGTGGCAGCCCCTGAGATATTGGAACACCGCTATCATGTTCCCCCCTCGTCCTTCTCTTCATTAAACTAGACATACCCAATTCCAGCAGCCTTTCCTTATATGCTTTAGCCTCCAGTCCCCTAATCATCTTTGTTGCTCTTCTCTGTACTCTTTCTAGAGTCTCAACATCTTTTTTTACATCATGGTGACCAAAACTGGATGCAGTATTCCAAGTGTGGCCTTACCAAGGCATTGTAAAGTGGTATTAACACTTCACATGATCTTGATTCTATCCCTCTGTTAATGCAGCCTAGGACTGTGTTGGCATTTTTGGCAGCTGCAGCACACTGCTGGCTCATATTTAAAGAAGAATAGTTAACTCAGAAAGGGAAGCTCAGAAAGAATGGAAACCACAGTATACGTGTAGAAATGGAGGCTTCAGCTCTGAAATCATCCTGCAAAAAAGACTTACAGCCCTTGCTAACCTGGCTCATAAATCCTGCTCAGTAATACTAATAGGGTATGGAGAAATTTTTACAGTTTCATCTATATCTGTTTTTAGCTGCTAAATTAATCAAGCCCTATAGAATCAGTTTGCCAATCCTTCTTTGGGAGTGATTTTCTGACTTCCAAGCCTGGCCTGAAGCTCTGGGAAGTGTTACCCTCTCCCCCATACAGACTCTGCTCCCCCTCCCCCCAGGCTCTGGGAAGCTCTTAAGATCTGGCTCTCTTCCCAGGCTTGGTGTTAATATGTTTGTTATGCAATGTGGGGTTCCTGCCATGGTTGTAGTTTATTGTTCTGATTGTTTTAATCTGGGTTGCCTGTGTGTTTTAATGGCTTTAATTGTTTCTTGAATTTTGTAAGCCATCCAGAATCTAACAGAATGGCTGGCCATAACAAATTGAATACATTAAATTAAATTAATTACATGAAATCTGTACTACTTCCCTTTGATAGTCTTTAAATATAGGAAGATTGCTATCATGTGTCCCATTACTCTTCCCTTCTTTAGATTAAATAGTTCTTTTAATTGTTTTTCATAGGATTTAGCCTTTAAGCCTCTCACTATCATTGTAGTTCTTTTCTGCACTCAGCATTCTTTTTGCATTGTGGCAACCCAAGTTGGATACAGTGCTCCAGGTCCAACATTCAGTGACCAGTGCATCAAAAAGCAGACCTTTTGCTTTCTGGGATCTCAACATTGTTTCTCTATGGATGCAGCCAAAGATTGCATTGGCTCTTTTGCTGGCTGCATGCTCATCCAGCTATCACCTATTTTGTACCACTACATCTAGTTTTCCTACCAAAGTGCAGAAATAAACTTAGACTTAAACATACTCAGTTTTTTAAACACCATTGAACGGCATTTTATTGATTAGGGCCTAATGTTCAAGTCTATTAAAAGATTCTTTTGAAGCTTGGGCCTATCTTCTGACATATTATCAGTCTCCTTCATTTTGTATCATCTGCATATCTGATGAGCATCCCTTCTATTCCCTCATCTAAGTAAGTTTTGAAAATGTTGAAAAGCATTCAGCTTATTCCCCCTCTCCTTTTTTTTTTTTTTTTTATATAAAAAAAAGAGTGAAACAACGTTAGCTCTTCTTCAGTCTTCTGGCACTTTCCCTGTACTTCAGGACTTCTTAAAGATTACAGTGAGAGATTTTAACTGGAGACTATGAAGAGAGACAGAATTAGAAATACCCTTTAGCTTTTAGCCAGAAATTATTTGGATAGATTGCTTTATACTCTGTGAAAGAGGAATATTATTTTAATCCAGACTGGGTTTTTAAAAGTGAGCATGGCTTCTCCCATATCCCAGTTTTAGGGCAGCTACATTTTTTATTCTAAAGAAGAGCATATAAAGCTTCTTTATATGGAGCCACAGTTTCTGTTTTGATGGACAACATCTCTTCAGAAAGGGTCTTTTCAAGTTTGTTTGCCCTTTTAACTAGAAAGAATGGTAACTGCACCTGGAAGCTTCTGTGTGCCAAATTCTGTATAGCTGACGTGTTATTATATATCAAAAAGTCTCTTTGAATATAATTTTAGAAGAGGGCTAAAGATTTCTCCCATACATATGAATCTTTTCATAATATTTATGAATGGGCTATCAATACTGTTTGTTATGACACTGGGGAAAAGAATTAGATCAGTGGAAACCAAGGTGAAACTTAATGGAATCTGAATTATTTACCAGATTATATACTTTATTCAGAAAGCAAAAATTAATTATTGTAATGTGACTCAAATGCTTATAGTTCCCAACCAAATTGATCATTGTTTATTTTGATGAAACTTCCTTAGGTTAGGAAAGGGTAATCTAGGATATCCAAACAAATAAATGATCCTTAAATAGGCATCTTTCTTAACTGTCAATAGTAAAAATAGGTTTTCCCTTTCCTTTTAATTCTATCACAAGAAAAATCCAACCTCGGTTCTTCACTGCTCCCCCTGGTGATGCACATTTATCATTTATCAAGCAGCACACAAGAATTAAAAACCAACAAAGCAATATTTATTGGTTAATTGTTATTAAAAAGCAGGAGGCCTGTACATCACATAGGACTCTCCTGGAGACACCAATGAACAGATGCAAACATCTTACAAACACTTTTTGATTTCAAAATAAAGATTTTTTATTTGTTCAGCCCAGCTGAATATTAGCAACAATAATCATCAGTTTTTGAAAAAGCCCAGGGCTTCCTGATACAATCACACAAACTTAGTTATGAAAAAAATAGATATCTATGTACATTATATACACACACACACATATATATATAAAACATATAAATTAAGAGCAAGAAGAGGCTATTCATAGAGAAAGTTGTAGCACTTTCTAGGCTAGGGCAAAAAAGTTTTTCCTTTCTAGACACACATATACTGAATCAGCTGGAGAAGAATCAGATCTGTGGCTACTAAACCTTGCTCTCTGGATTGATGTGAAATCCATAATGATATCAGGTTTGCTGTTGCCAATTTTCTGCCTGTTAAACAGGAGCATTTGCTGGTAAACAGTCAGTTGCTGGATGGGAAACTACATGTCCACCTGGCTCTCCAAAGTGTCTATCAGGCTTATCAGCATTCCTATGTTATGGTTGAACAGTGTCAGAACAGAGTTTCCCACAAATAGCTGACCACAGCGTTCACCTTCAATCAGCAAATTACTTGATGTTTTGGGAATGGCCCTCCAGGAATAGCCAAGAACAGCCTGTTCCTTCTGCCTCAATGAGCTTTGTGCACAGTCTTAGACAGCCGAAGGCATTGTAATCCTAATTCAGAGTTGCAGGCTGCCAAATTCCAATTGCAACAAAATAATAACGGTTCACAATAACCTACTTGAGCCAAAATATCAGCTGTAATTGGTTGAACTCCCTTATGGGAGCCAGCATACACACTTTGCCCCATGTAGGGCTGGAGTTTTAACAACACACTGCTTCAGACAGCAATTTCATAGTTCTGGGCCCATGACAATCCATTATCCTCAGAGGGGGGCCTCCAAGTAAGAGTGGGCCATATTCAAGTCCATGGGAGGCTCTTGTAGCTGTTTAGCTCTGGTCTTGCACCTCTTCCTCCTTCCAACCACTGGAGTTTTTCCCAAACTTGTACACAAGTCTCCGGCCGTCCACACGTTCCAGAATTTCCCGTTTGTAGTAATACCTGAGAAAAGAGATAGCAAAGGCTTTAAAGAAGAACCCCGAGGATTAGTCCTCCTCCCCCTCCCCCCAAAAAATCAAGGCCAAACTCTTTAAAATGTTTTATGATGGATGTAGTTATGAGTCCATAATCCAAATGCCTAGAATTTATTATTGCAGAAATTGCAATTTTTGGTACCAGAAGCCATACTTTTGTTTGCTTTATTTTTGGCTGGGATGATTATGTGACTGAGACACCGCTATAATTACAACAGCAGAGAACATAGGACCTGATTTCTGTCCGTTTCTCCAAAGTTTGCGTTTATTTTTTTTAAAAATGGTAATAGATATGCTCAGTTGATCTAAGGTTTAATAGATGAAGCTTTCCACCCCATTTTGAGTGTATGAATAACTGTAGCACCACAATAGCATCTGCTCCTATGTTTACCCTGTTGCCTCTTCATTCTATCCCTTTACTAAGAATTGCAATGCTTGTATTTGTCAACTTTGTTGATATTTTTTTCTCAGGCAGACTATATTACAGGTAGTCCTCCATTTACAACAGTTCATTTAGTGACCATTCAAAGTTAAAATGGCATGAAAACAGTGACCATTTTTCACACTTATGACTGTTGCAGCATTCCCATGGTTATGTGATCAAAATTCAGATGTTTGCCAACTGACTCATAGTTATGATGCTTGCAGTGTCCTGGGATCATGTGATCACTCTTTGTGACCTTCTGACAAGCAAAATCACTGGGGGAGCCAGATTCATTTAACAATGATGAAACTAACTTAACAACCGCAGTGATTCATTTAACAACTGTGGCAAGAAAAGTTGTAAAATGGGACAAAATTCACTTAAGAACTGTCTCACCTAGCAACAGAAATTTTGGGCTCAATTGTGGTCGTAAGTTGAGGACTACCGGTATTTTTGTAGACCTTTTAACAAAATGTTAATGTGTTATTTATTCTTGAGTTTTAAGAACTTGTTGGCTTTTAATTTCTTGTAATTCTCTTTTTTTTTTAATATCTCCTTCGCAGAGTGACATGATATTTTAAAAATTATGAAGATTATTGGTCAGTATATAAAAAAAATAACGATAGATACCTCATGGCACGGCTGAGTTTCTCATAGGTCATGCTACTATTTTTTTTCTTTTGTCCCCAGAGCTGGGCTACAGCCTCTGATCTCAGGAATTTGAAAATGCCTTCTCGACGGTCTTCCCACTTTAGCAAACCCTCATTCAGCTCAGGATGAATTAGGATGTCCCGAATGAATTCCCACAGGTGGATCCCTCTTGGTGCTGGTTATGAGAAAGGAAATAAGACAGTTAAATCATTCATCTGTCCAAATGACACTGCAAGCAGCAAAGGTTTCCTAACTGGGCATAAAAGATTTTGCGCTGCAGGGCTATGGAATCATTGCATAAGAAAACAGACTGTGTTTCTGAGAAAGCTCTGTACCTCCAGGGAGGCAGGAGATAATCAGATAACTGAGATGTTTTTAATGAGTTTGGAAGACAAGGAACTATAATGCAAAATGACATAATTCAAGCATTCTACGGTTGATCAGTATTTAAATTCCCTGCTCCACTCTGACATATCTGGCAGGCATACGGTCACCAGTAAAGTTATTATGCTTCTGCATCTATCCTAATGGACCAAGTAAATGAGCTGCCTCAGAACTTGAAGTTAACAGGCCAGCATATGTAAGTCAAGCAGTTGCATAAAATATTATCTCCTTATTTCACTAACCAGCACATAATCTGAGCAGGAAACGCATGGACAATTTTGGTTTGCATTCACTAGCCAAATATCATGAACATCTGGCCCGTATATTATACGATATCCACTTACAGTGTTTATTCTTTTTAGACTCCAGGCAGTCTCTGCTGTCCTTGCTGATCTTTCTTGGTCGTCCCCTTTTCCTTTTCTTAAGATCTTCTTTCTTATATTCTGGATAGTGCCATGTAGGGGGAAAAAATAAGAGGCAATTGAACTTTTTGCCCCAATACCTTACATTCCTACAACTACCCTATGTGAACTTGAAAGTTCAAGCACAGCCCCTAGAAGACAGTATGGCAAATCAGAGCCAGAATCTGTACCCATCGTAATCTGACATATCATGTCCTGATCCCTCACCCCATTATAATATCCCGGCCAACTGGTTTTTTTACCCTTGGGTAAACAGAATATGTACATTTGTGCACAGCCAACATCTCAGCTACAGTGTAAACAGAACTTATTTCTAGATGAGGGCATGGTGTCTAAAAAATATCAAGATGATGGCCACACATTTAAAAGGGATGCAGTTTTCATCATGTGGTTATGGCCACCATCTTTTTCTAGACCAACATTTTCCATCCAGATACTCAAGAATATGGGACAAGACTCATCACCTCTAGCAATCATGCTTTCCATTATTCTATTATCTTTAACGGACAGGAAGGAATTAAGTTTTTGTGCTATTTTTTTAAAAATTCTACTCTACATTTCTTTAAAATGGATTGCAATAAAAATCAGAAAACACTTGATCAGCTTCTAAGTCAATTGCTCTCCTACTCTGACTAAAGTACAACAGAACAGAGCTGGAAAGGACAACATTAGAACAACTAGAAAGCAATTATATGTAACTTTTCTCTTAAAACAGAAACCTTCCATGAAAAGCTGCAGTCTTGGACATTTCACAAATGAGGAAACTATTTTTTTCTCCTTAGGCAAGTTCCTTATTTAAAATTAAATCACCATTTCTCCCCCCCCCTCCAAAAAAAGGGCCACCAGTGCCTTATTCTAAGTACAAAAACAAAACTAAACAAATAGCCTTTATTCAAATCTTTAGAACTACAGCCTTATATTACTGCTTTTTATTTTATTTTATTTTAAAAGAAAGGGGCTGGGGTAGGAGAAAGATACAAAGAAGTTATATATGGTTGCATTAATTTGAAGTGCAGAACAATTATTGCTTGGATTTTCTAAGTCAATTCTATCTATGTATGTGACATCTCATTACATTGCTTCTGACCCCTTTTTTCTTTAGCAGTGTTATTGGCATTTGATTTGGTCTCCTAATTGTATTGTAGCAGTCTTTCCCCAAAACTACTATCTTCTGCTGAGAGGGATTTGTATTAGCAGAGAATATTTTTGGAACATTCAGAATTTGGTTTTGATTTTAAATGCTTGTGCTCAAAATTTATTAAGAAACCTTTTCTCATATCTAAATATAGCAATGGTATGTTATTCCTGTTCACACAATAATAATAGAATAGACTCTGAATATGCATAGATTACTCTGTTACTTTGCACCGATATTTAGCTCTAACATTTTATAGAATTAAGCTGTTGGATATATATCTATGATTCTGTTCTTTTTTTAACCATGTTTGTTCTGTTTTTATGCAGTAGATCTATTGTCTACTGTTCCTGTTTGTTTGTCTTCCTCTTCACTAGTTTGTCTTTGAAGATGCCAGCCATTCTACTGGCAAAATATCTAGCAACAAAAGCATTTATGCAAACATATCTGAAATCCTGTTGATCAGTCTTAACTTACCATTAGAAAAGTTGCAGTGTTTTATGTCTATGGGATCAAGATCTAGATCACTTCCACCGGAGTCCTGAGATTGAGGGCTCTGAGACATTGTCCCTGAGGAGAAAGGAAAGGAAATTGAAATCTCTACTCTAGATACCCGCTCTGGAAATGAAGCATGATTGTCAAATGTTCTGGATCCCGAGGATTTATTTATTTATGCAAAAAGACTTACGTTTTGCTATTACTCCCCTTCTAGAATTTAGATATTTCTGATATTAGGTACAACTATCCCCCCCCTCCATAAACAAAACTGTTAACAAATCGCAATCTGCTTATATGAGTGAATATGATGAGGAAATTGGATCTATTAAGGCCAACAGGCTTTCTGTGATAGCTAAGCTAAAATCTGCAGGAGGCAAAGGACATCAGCAATTTGGGGAACATAAACAAAGTACCTGCTAGAGATGCAGAGCTGTCTGGTGACATGGCTCCAGAGATGTAGCCAAGATCTGACTGTGAAAAAATGCTTGCTAACTTCATTTCCTCCAGATAGTCCTGGCTGCATGAGTTCCCCAATTCTGGGGAGGCAGGGGGAAGAGAGAGAAATTGAGCATTAAGCACATTCATAAAAGCAGATGTAAACAAATGTAAACAGGGAACCATCACAAAACAGAGCAGCCATTCATTGACCTCTCACCTAAAGGACTGGATTCCAGAAGGGCCTCCTGTGATACATCCTCAGTCCTCAGCACTGACATGATCCAGCCAAGTTCATCTGAAACAGACAGAATAAGGGTATGGGAAAGAAAAATAACGTTATTTCTGAATTATAAACCAAGTGCTTCTCCCTTGTTCATTCAGAGATAAACTAAAAGTTGCATTGTTTTCTTTGTAGGGAAATTAAATAAAATAGAGGCAGTGTTTCTGAAAATTTAGATTCACTCCTGATAAATAATGATTAATCAGGGACAGGTACCAGGCATTCTATTCTTGTGGATAACTAATTTCTGTCATGCTTTCTGGACTGTTTTAATTTTCATTGGCTGTAATGTGTTTGCCTTTACAGTAATACAACCTGTTGTCACTTCATTTAGCACCTGAAGTTTCCTTCTCTCCTATAAATCTGAGGATGGGGATGAGGGCAAGACACCAGGGTGAAGCCAATAAGAAAAGGTAGCAAGTGCTACCAGCCCAGAGTAAATCCACAGGCTTCTTCTCTTCATAAAGAATACCTTGCTTCAGTGAAATAGACTGGTTTCATGTAGGACACTAATCCATTATGAGATTTGTTATGTTTTGTAAAGAATTATTTGTGGCTTAATGTGATATTCAGTCATGTGTTATTTAAGAACATATAATTCATCAAACCTTAATTTAGTGTGAGGTATGGACATTGTCATTTAGTTTTTACACTTAATAACCCACTCATTTTCTCAATTTTTGCATTTCTGCCTCACAAAATGGGGAGTAGAGGGGAGAGATACCAATGTATTTCTGCCTTGAAAGGAGAGGGGGACACCAACACGTACCCGTCTCATGCAAGCGGTCATATAACTCATCCCCAAGGGGCCCAAAGATAAGTCCCAGCTGATCTCGTGTGTATTGGCAAAGGGTGTAGCCATCCATGTTGCAGCAGGAGAAATCTATGGCACTGGCATCATACTTGTTTTTCTCCACATGATAGCTGATCCACTCCAGCACTTGAGACCTGCTCCAGCTGTGTGGCATTTCACCATACCATGTTGGTTTGCCTGAGAATGGTAGAAGGGAGAGGTGGGGAGAGAGAAGAGTGGGTTTAGTTGAGCAGGTGATTGCTTTGTTAGTGCCAGCTCAGCCCCTGGAACACTGCTGCCTGAGCGGCACAGGGTGCGGCCAGTACATTTACGCACAGGATTTATCTTGCTTAGTCACTGTGGTTAACACGTACACCTGTCACCTGTTCCCTTATCTCTGAACGTGCCCCTCCCAGCTGGAATGAGGTCATTTAGGGCAGCAACTTCTCAGCTCTCTGTGCAGCCAGCCATGCCTCCATTAGAATACTGTATATGATCAACTGCCACAGTACTGGTGGCGCTGTTCAGTACTCCAGTAGCCTTTAACTTATAGAAGGCCATTTGTATAGCTTTTCACTGGTAGGAAAAGCAGTATAGAGAAATTATAACTGACCTTTTGGCTCTGCAAGGTTTTAAGCCAGCCTTCCCCAACCTGTTGCCCTCCAGATCATCATAATAATTTGCATACAACATGACAAATTTCAAAGCATTTCAACAGATTAACCTAGCAATAGTTAAAGAGCTTATTCAAATTCCCCAAGTAAAGGGTGCAATACTTTGCACTGAAATCCATTGGGTACAGAAAGTTAGGCCTCCAAGACCAATAAAACAGAATTCCAAAATCCATTCTAGATATAAAATGCCCTCTTTTTTTCTTTTATTCAGTTGCCTACTCCCCTTGCACCATCAGATTATGGACAGCTACCTGTTGTCTCAGTTGCCATGCTTGCATTAGTCAGAACAAGAGATAGGTTGTCATCTTCAACAAGGTGGGTTAACAGATCAGGGTCTGGTGGGGCTTCCTCTGGCTGATACATGGCGCTGATATAATTGGAGATGAGGTTGCTGATTTCACAAGATCCTGCCATGGAAGTTTCTGTCAGAAAATTGAAACTATTAGATTTGGACAGAAATGGAGAACAAAATGAGCATGTGGGAGCATTAATCACCTGCATTTTTTTCTTTATTAACTTTTTGCATATATTTGTTTTGCGATAGTAACTCCTGGCTCCTAGTTCCTCATATTTTCAACAGTCTTTCAAATCCTTGCACTGTCTCATCAAAACTAGTGCCCTCTAGGTAAGATTGGCTACAATGCCCATAAGATTGGCTACAATGCCCATCCATTCCAAATGGGTGGGACTGTAATCAAGCATTTTTAGAAATCACCAAGTAAGGAACAGCTCCCTAAAGAGCAGGATCTTTTCATAAATATCCAAGGGGAAGGACAATGTTCTAGACAAAGTGGTCTGCCAACAAATTAAAAAATATCACAACTCTCATTTTACCAGTGTTTTAATTTTTTTGCTCGGATAAGCCACAGAAATAACTTTACGCTTGCATTCCATCCCATCTCCATCCCTGCTCCCTAGATTTGGCTAATACAGCGACAGCATACATTCAACAATCCTCTTATCAAATTTAAACAATTCTCCATTTATCTGAGAAAAGATTCTGCTTTCTCAGAAATGAACTATTTCTTGAACTTTGTTAACCTAAATTTAAACTTTTCAAGCATTATCATTAATCACTCGCTAACCCCTCTCTCACCCTTCATCTTGCTTATAGACTTTAAGAGTTCCAGGTCAGACCGAAGCCCCATCCCTTTAGATCCGCAGAGCAAAATTGAAAATGCATCAAATATAGGAGAAAGTTGCCAGAGAAACTATCCACAACTAGATATTTTTCTGGATGTTCTGAACCTAACCATCCAAAGATATTGTGCAGCTATTCCATCACTGTTGTCACTCCCCCACCCCCAAAGAAAAGAAAGAAAAAGAAAAAAACAATGGGAAAAAATAGGAGGGTTACCAGGAAAAGGTTCAAATTCTACATCCCTTGTACATTTCCATGAATCAAGAGATGAATTTGCCTGAAAGCATCATCTGAGTCCATAGAAACAGAAAAACTGACTGACTGGAGCAGGACAAAAGCTTCTTTGATCAGGCATTTTGGTTCCACTGCCAGGCAATCAGATACATGAACTGATTATGCACTCAGTATCTTCTCTGAAGCTTGTGAAATAGGGCACAAGCTCTGAATATATAGGCTTCAAATAAGGAACTTAATAAAATGCACTTCAGATGTTGCCACAACATCCTGAACAAGAACCGAGTTAAATACCAGGCAGACACAGCTATTCTACGTCCATCCTTCTGTTCACCTACAAAGTGAATATACCATCTTCCTTTTGTACCTACCAGGCAGGTGCTGCAGCAGCAGTTAATCCACACAGTAGTTGGCTAAAAAAGTAGCAGAGAGTGTTCAGTTGCTCCTGCTCACCTGTGCCCTGGTATTTGTGATCCCCTCCTGAGTATAACTCAGCCCCTCCCCATCGCTGGGCCTTTATAGGGCGCCTCTCCTGTAACATGATCTCCGCCTCTAGGGGAATTCCAAGCACAGGTACTCAACTCCTGCCTAGGGAATTTGCATATGTGCCACCTGGGTCAATGCCAGCCTACCTTGCCGGGAAATCTGGGCAGATAGTTTAATCATTACCAAAGAAGCCCTGGCAGAGCCTATGCCAGTTTCACTCAGGATGATGTTTTTCTACCTTTCCTATCACTTGTGTTTGTTTGCTCATCAAAGCAGTAAACCACCCTACTTTTCCCTCACTTGCTAAGAATAGAGCTATATAAATGGTTTCATGGGGGCAGTTACCACTTGCCATTCCAGTGGACAGCATCAGGTAGGGTTTGAAGGTGACAGACACACCATTATAGATCAGGAAAAGCTAAATCCATACATGAAGGTGGCTCACAAAGCTACTGTCTAAGAATCGCTCACAGTCAAATGCTGAAGCCAAAGTTTTTCCAGCATACTAAACAACACTTATGTCCTCTGGTGTGCAGCTTTCCACGACAAATCTGGCTTCTTGTTTAGGGACAAAACAACATTTTGTCAATGTTAAGGATGCAATTATAGGTACATTTACCTGAAAATAATTCTAGTGGAGTATGACTAAACTAATTTTATGTTAGCTATATATAGAATTAGGGCATGCTTTTTACTGGAAATCATGGGATTTCAGTAAGTTGAAACTACGCCCCTTTCCTTTGCTATCAGTGACATATGCATCCTTACGTTATGACTGGTTAATGAGATTGCAAGTACCAATGACCCCAAGGGATCTTACTTCCTAATAAATGTTGTCACAAGTCTGAATTGAGTTCATGCTGGATTTCTAACCCCTATATTGCCCCCCCCATATTATTCCAGAAGAAAAAAGGGAGTAGTTTAATATGGGAGACATTTATGCCACTGTAGTGATAAATCAAATATTTGTATGAATAGGAAGAAATTCAGAGAAACAGGCTTGTGTAATTAGTTGTAACAGATATATAAGCAAATGTTATAGCATTATAATATACTGCAGCATAGAGTGTCGAATTTTTCAACTGCTCCGAACTAAGCAGAATTGAATATAGTTAGTGTTTGAACAGAAGTCTGCGGAGGTGAACAAAATGTCCTACAGGAGGCAGTTTCAAAACCACTTCTACGTTATTGTTAGCAAAATGATTGGATATGTCCATGAAATCACTGGGTAGTAAGGTCAACTTGAGCAAGATTTTATTCAATGAGAATAAAATCAAAAACCAAATATAGGTGAGATTTATGGATTTCCCAGAGAGATTAGCTGACCCCCCCTATAGGTTGGAAACAGGAAGTAGGATTAAATGTAGGGGTTCCCCCGCCCCATTCAGCACAGCTCACCCCATATTACTGATACAGACATAGGAAGCTGGGACAGTAAGTTGGTGTTTATTCTTTGCTGTGCCACTGCCCCCTTCTGTCATCACAGGCAAGACTGCAGAATGTTTTTTCGTAAGGAAGCTTTTAGCCTGCACTGCCTTATACAGTCAGGCTAAGAAATGTGAGAGAAGTTTTTTTGAAATCAACAAAAACACTTTCTAATCCATGTAGATCTTAAATTAACCCAACAAGTTACAGATAGGCAAAGGCCAGTTAATAATTCCTTGTAAAAACAGCCACAACTTCATTGAATTTTGGGAGATTATGTCCTTTTGTACATGGACTTGTCTCGCAGCTGTGTGAGATTGTGATGAGCTGGATAAATGTCTTGTGACCGAAAGCTGGTATTAATGGGCAAACTCTGCATTCATAGCAGGTACAGCTTGGTGGAAACTGAGACAGCCCACCAACTTGCCTAGCTGGCTGAGTTACTGGCAATGCTCCCGCCACACCCGATTGACGTCAAATGGAGAATGTTGCTTGGCAAGAGAGTTGCCCCAGTGCTCTGGTGCCACTGCACAGGCAATAGGTTAGACAGGGCAGCTCTTCCATCTGATTCTTAACAAAAGTGATAACTGAAATAGATATATCTCTGCTGATCCCTAGGCAATTCCTTTGGATTAAAGGCAAAAAGATTTTAACTTCTCTGTCACGACTGGATCACCAGTTGGTTATGGTTTACCTCTTGGGATGTGGGGCTTTGGCAGCTCCATATAGTAAACAAACATTAATCATCTAGATATTTTAATGCCATGAGGAGAAAAGTTTAATCTCTTGAATTAGTGTAGGTGATGATGATTGAGTCAAAGGAATCACATGGGGGAATGGGAGGAGTTAATGCCTTCTTTACTGAATGCAGGTAGTCCTTGATTTACAACCACAGTTGAGCTAAAAAAATTCTGTTGCTAACTGAGATCATTGTTAAATGAGTTTTGCCCCATTTTACAACCTTTCTTGCTATAGTTGTTAAATGAATCACTGTAGTTACTAAGTTAGTAATAGTGAATTTGGCTTCCCTATTGACTTTGCTAGTCAGAAAGTTGTAAAAGGTCATCATATAATCCTGGGACACTGCAACCGACATTAATATGAATCAGTTGTCAAGTGTCTGAATTTGGTCACATGACCATTGGGATGCTGCAATGGGGATAAATGTGAAAAACAGTCATAAATCTCTTTTTTTCAGTGTCGCTGTAACTTAGAATGGTCACTAAAGGAAGTGTTGTAAGTCAACGACTACCTGTATGAAGTTTGGTTCGGATTTGTTTCATTTTCATTTGGTTTGGTGGGTTAGCAATAATACATTGCTTACTTTACACATGGATAAATGCACCTGATGGGAGAAATACAAAGAAAATGTACACTGAAAATGGCTGGGTTGCAGTGCTATCAGCCTGTGTTCACTAAGCACAAAAGCTGGGGCTTCTGGTCTTGTGAAATAATTGAGACCACGAATGCATGAAGGTAGCAGAAAATGGATATAAAAACATAAACAACTAAATTTTAATGTTAATATCATTACTAAGGTGAAGGCCATACAAAAAGCTGCAAGGCTATGCTCGCTTCCTAGGTTACAATTGTACACTAGAATGTCTGCATGAGCAAAGGTAGTCAAAATGCTGATCTTTATTATTTATTTATTTATTAAGAAAATGTATATGACTGTCCAGTTCACGGTGACTCCAGATGGCTTACAGAAATAAAACCCCAATACAAAATCCAATAAAACCTCATTCCCCCTTGATTGTGGATTGCAGCTGCAATTTTAATCCCCCCCCATTGTGAACATGCTTTTAGTGCATTGTGCTATCATATATATATATATATATCTGTCCAGATCATCTATGATATCTATCTATCTATCTATCTATCTATCTATCTATCTGTCTGTCTGTCTGTCTGTCTGTCTGTCTGTCTGTCTCTGTCTGTCTGTCTGTCTGTCTGTCTGTCTGTCTGTCTGTCTGTCTGTCTGTCTGTTGAACTAAGATCAAGAGATTCAGGTTCCAGTCTGACCTGAAACACAGGGCTTACTGGATGACCTTGGGCCAGTCACTGCTTCTGAGTATAACCTAATCTAACTTAACCCTAACTCAAAGTGTTGTGGGAAAATTTGAAGTGACATTT